ACTTTGGCATTAAAATGATAGCGGTCTATTCCTTTCCAATTATCGATATCGTAAGCAGTAAAGTGTTTGCAACATGCAGCTACTTTCAACCCATTTTTGGGGTTGCCCTGCAGTCCTCTCACATAGCTGGCAGCGTATTTGGCGGCCACATATGGGTCCTCACCAGGGGTCTCTTGGCCTCGGCCCCACCGTGGGTCCCGAAAAATATTCACATTCGGGCTCCAATAAGTCAGCCCGGCCTTACCATGGTTGTACATTGCCCTGCCTTCCGTAGATACCGCCTAAAATATATAGCTAATATTTTATTAATTAATAATATTCAATTACTAATTCATATAGGGATAGTAGTTTATTGCATGGACTTGCTTCTACATTTTGTTTATTTTTCGTTTGGGGCTTCCTTAGTTATGTACAGTTTTTTCCAATATGTACAACAACAACAACAACATACCCAGTATATTCCCAACAGGTTTGGGTCTGGGGGGTCAGTTGTACGCAGACCTTACTCTTGTAATTATACAAGGAGGTTGTTTCCGTAGCGACCCAAGGTGCATTGCGCCGTTTGATATATTTTCTTTTTCTAGAAACTTCACTAATAGAAGAAGCACTAGAATTTAGTTGAGTCATTTTATTCTAGTCCATTATTAGCACTATGACAGGAGAATTGTTAACAAGGACTCTTCCAACTCCATTTGCAATGGACACAGTTTTTTNATATGTATGACTATTATATCATCTCACATTAATGCACTAATGTCCTTTCAATATGTATGACTATTATAACGGGCATAGGTCCTTTTAGTCACACATTAATGCACTAATGTCTTAAATGTCAAAAGACATAGTAATTGATCAGATAATATTAGTCTACATATATCGGATTTATAGGTAATCAAATATTGAACTCTATAATCTTTTCTAACCAATCATGCATAATTGTACCTTGACTGCCCAGACCTTGGAACATACCCCAATTTTCATCAAACTACGCGTGAATATGACTAAATTATACGCGGTGGCAATAATAGCCAGAATCATTACGAATTTGCAGTAATAGCAAACTATCTATAAAGCTTTGGAGTTATTATCCAAATTCGGCGAATTTTAACGGATAAATTGCAAAATATAGTCAGTATCTTTCTATGCAGTATCAATAATAGCCGCTGAATTTGGTCGAACTTGGGTAATAACTTTAAAATTTTGAAAGGTGTCGACTACTATTGTCATTTTGCAATTAAACCAGTGAATATTAATAGTCCTTCAGCATTATCGGCTACCTATTAGTAAATGTTACGAGTCAACACAACCTATACTAAAAGATCTAAAAACCGTTATAAACTCGACGCAGCTTATTCACAACCGGACTCGATTTTCTTCTCTAAATATTTTGACCCCAAAAAACGAATCCTTTGACTAATAATGTAAATATATATGGTGCATAATTTATATAACTTGTTTCTTACCTGGCCAATCAGCATCCATAGGGTAACGTTGAAAGTAGCAGCTGTGGTAATTACTTGAGGGAAGCTAGTGGCGTGGCTAATCTCGCCGTTAAATTTAACGCCGGGGCCCACATTGGAAATCCCGTGCAGGGCCTCTGACCACCACTCGTAGTCCTTTATCCCCAATCTCTCCACAGGCGCCGCATTATTGACAAGCAACTTTATTTTTTCTTGCAAACTCAATATCCCGATTAAATCCCGAACTCGGTCCCTTATATGGATGGAAGTATTGCAAAACCCGAAGGTTTTGGTTGTGGGCTGGGCCGGGTCGCAGGCGAATAGTGGCGCCTGAGACCCGTTTGTGAATAATGGTAGGGTTAGGACTAGAATGAAAATATGGAAAAATGGGATAAGTCTCGAAAGCAAAAAATTGTATGCCATAGCTCAAAAATTTATCTATCTTGTGCAAGTAATAAGGATAGTTGGCTAAGGTTAAGGTGAAATATATAGAGTTGAGAACTTTTGACAATTAAACCAAGTGTATGGAATGAAATTGGTAGCGCTTTGAGTAACTTGAACATGCTGAAGAACAAAATGATGAATGCTTTCTTGTTTTCAAGAACAGAAATTATTGTGATTAACAACGTATCTTGTGAATCTATATTTGACATTTGATTTAATAATGAGAGAGCTAAACCTAAATTATCTTTAACTGTTACTTTTTTTTTTTACATGCATTTCCAGCTCAGTATTGTCTTCGTTGTGTGATTTGTGAAATAGAAATAATGTGAAATCTATATTTGACATTTGATCTAATAATGAGAGAGCTAAATTATCTTTTACACGCACTTTNAGAATGGGAGAGAAAGGACCAGTAGCTGGAATTCAATTGTTTTGAATTAGGCTGACCCGCCTCCAGCTTGTTTTGATATGTCTAAATATTATATGTGTTGGTATATGTGTCCTAAAGATAATTTTTTTAACGACATATGTACATGATTATATTAATAATTATATTAGATTATAATTATGGTATTACAATTAATTAAATAATTGTTTGATTATTTGCAATTTATTAATTAATTGCTCCTTTGAGTTAATACTGTCATTAACAGAGTGAGATGTTAATTGATAAAGTATAACTCTCAAATTGCCTCAATCGATGATCATTCAGAAAGGGATATTAAAGATACGCGATAGATTGACATGTGGTCTGCATCACATTCTTGGAGAATATAGTATGTCTCACTACTTTGAATAATTGTTAATCGTGATTGACACATGGATACTTTGGAGAGTATTGGCTTATCCTACCGATAAACCATTTGTTTATGTGTCTATGGGAGTATCGGTGTGTGGAATTGTGTAATAGTCCTTTTTTACTTGAGGTCAATACGCATGTATAGAGTGATTTACTAAGACTTAGTCCAAAGCTTACGCCCTTATGGGTAGATACGGTGTGTTGGGTTGATCACGATATACATGGAATTGGTAGTTGAGCCAAGATAGGATTCATTCCTCGAATATAGTTTCGAGAGAACACTCGTTTTCTCTATACTGGGTTGATAAAGTCATTGGCCAATTCACGTGATTATATTTGAAATGGTGTTCAAATATAATTGATAAAATCAACCAGTAAGACGAGATAAAATGATTAAGCTGTTTGGATAGACACACGTTCAAATCATAAGCTTAATCGAGTGGTTCGTAAATGAAGGGACCGTATCACTAATGAATTCTACATCAAAGGTTTGTTTGCTTTGTCTATGTAAACGTACTTTATATTTTGAGTTCGTCCTTCAACGCAGTCTAGGAGTTTCGTAAGGATCATAAATTAGATTTATGTCAATATATGAAGGCCTATAGGGTCACACAATATGCAATTTAGTTTCCAGCTAACAGTGAATCGAGAGTGTTAAATATTCAATTAGATTGGAATATTTATTGTTGAGTAATGAGATTATTTTTTATTATATAGAAAATATTTAATTAAGTTAAATTAAAATTATACTTAATTAAATCATTAATTAATTGAATTGGGTCCAATTACATATGGGGCTAAGTTATCCTAAAGCTCATATAATTAAGTTTAACCTAATTATAAATATGTGGTTATCTCTTCATTAGATGAGAGCAGATCATTAGATCAGATGAGATTATTAGATGAGAAGAGATGAGATTCTTAGATGAGAACAAGAGATACGCCGTAAAACACAAAACACTCTCTAGCTTTCTGACTGAGGATTCCTAGCGTCTTCACCGGAAATGATTCATTGCGTTGGAGGATCTAGATTGCGTGGATACCATAGTTGAAGATAACGCTTAAACTGTAAGTTTTTCGTTAATTATTCACGCGATCTAGGATCATATCGAATAGCTATAGCTAGATTTTCGTTGTTGGTAAGAAAAATTTTAAAATTCCGCTGCGCGTACGCTAGGTTCGTACGTCTAAAATCCATCAGTGGTATCAGAGCACGGGTCGGTGTTCATAGCTATTTGATACTAAATTAGATTTATATTCATGGATCAAAGTCTGTAATCATGCTTTAATTTGGAATTAATGTAGTGTTCGTAAATTCTGGGAAAACAACGAACCTACAATGGAGTCTGGGATTTATTTTGGGCTGTTCGTTCAAAAGCTTGAGATTTGGAATCTCTGTAACTCTCTCCGCGTCTCGAAATTCTGGGATTTGACTCGTGCAAAGAACCATCCATCACTCACAGAAAAAGGATTTTTGCCTTTTTGGAACAATAATTAAGAAAAGGATTTTGGAACCTTTTTGTTCGTTCTGTTCGAATTTCAACCTGCAAAATTCTGGGAATTTGCATCCGCGTACCAATTCGATCTGCTCGATCTTCGCTGCCGACGATTGTTGTCACTGCGTCTGACCGCCAGGCTCGCGCGGCCAAGCGCCGCTGCAGCTGGGCGGCCGGCCCCCGTCGCCTTCAACCGTTGGATGTTGCGGCTGTTGACGGCCCTCGTCGGGTGACCTGCGCTCCTCGATGGCCCTAGCTCTTGGAAGCGAGCAGCTGTGATCGCCGGGACTGTGGACATCGAAAACCCAAGCTTGGAGCTCGGGTCCGTCATCGTTAATGGCGGATGTAATAATAATAATAATAATAATAATAATAATAATAATAATAATAAATAAAAAATAAAAAAACGGTGGTTTAACCGCCTGGGAAGGACTCCGGCGAGAGGGCATCGGCCTGGGACGTCGAGGGCTTGTCGGAGTTCGAGCGAAGCGGCCAATGTGAGCTGGGCGAGTGACGAGATGGCTGAAAAACGAACGTGGAGTTACAGGGACTTGTGTTCGAAAATTCAATGAATTTTAGGGACTGATTTGCAATTTGAGAAAGTTTCGTTTATTGCAGATTGGCCCCAGGGGAAAATCTGAGATTTTTAAAATGTTTATCAAACTGCATTCTGGTCCTTGGGGCCTGTATGCAATTTTTGAAATTGGCCTAGGGCTAATTTACAATTTCTGAAAACTTCTTAAGGCCTGTTTGGCTATTGCAAAAATTAGATTTTTTGAAAAATCTTAAATAATGTTTATTTTTGCTTGTTTCAATTTTCTGAAAAATCCCTACAATTGAAATTAACCATTGGGGTAATATTTCAAACTAAAAATTGTTGTCCAACGACTCTTAAATATTTTTGAAATATTTAATGAACAAAACGAAGCTTCGTGCTTGTTTATCAATTCAAAATTTTAGAATTTTTAATGAATATTTTAGCACTTTACTTTGATCCATAAATTAGTTGGGCTTATGTATTTTGAATACTTTATTGTTATATGTGTTTAGAACTACATAAATGAATGAGCAATTAGATTATTTACTTGTATATATTTTGAATAATGGGTAATTAGATTACTTACTTATATGTATTTTGAATACATATTGTTATTTTTAATGTGTTTGGAATATTATAAATGCGTGATAATTGAATTATTTGTTTTTATTTGTCTAATTGAAATAAATTAAATAGTTTATTTATTTTAGTTAGCGTTCGCGATTATATTGTCTGGGTAGGTGGCACCAGTATTTGTCGGACCGCGTGATATATTGTCTGGGTAGGCGGCGCCCAGTATTTGTCGGACCGCGTTATATTATGCTCGGGTAGGCGGCGCCCGATATGTGTTATTTGTTGGATCTTATTTGAATATTGGATATTTAATACCCCGTTAAAATGTTCCCATAATTAAAATATAAGTCTCATCTTGGATGCATGACGTCACCTATCACAATTAAATGAGTGTAAAAACCTCTTCGTCCAAAAGTATTTACACCCTAGTGTTTGCTTAGGTCTACGAGGCTCAGACTCATTCATAGATACATATGTTTGTGATCGTGTGATGGTTTTGACTTACTTAGCTAATTCTTGTCACCCTAGCGTCGGAATGATCTAAGGACGTCGATCAAAAGTGATTTGATCAACCAAGAGTTGTAATTGTTTACAATTGGTTTAGAGACCTACCACTACATCCATTATAGTGATCAGCCCTAGCTAGGACTATAATCGGATGGATGTGGAACTTGGCTCATTATGACTATATTTGATATGAGTCCGTACTCTTCGGAGGGGTCGTAGAGTATGTGAAAATAGTGGGAGCTAAATTAATTGAAAACCATGTTAATTTAGTTAACAAATGTGATCAAGTTGTTTTATATTTCTGTTGTATAAGTTTCTCTGGGTTGAATAGAATTTCGAATTTATCATTGAAATGTATGATGGAAATGAATAAGTTGACTGAACCAAATTTATCTGGAATAACTGCACCTTTTGTGGTTGTTGTTGTGGTAAAAAGGAAATGAATATGTGTTCGACAAAAAGGTGCCCATCGTACCTAATTAGATTTTTTTGGGTACTATGCGTTTGATCATGATACCCATAAGAAGTATTACGATAATAAATTTCAGTATAATGTGTCGTGTTGTTCTCTATGTCAACTAGGTTGAAGAGATAATGTGATAGGATGGATCCCAATGAATGTGAGATCATTAAAAGAGACTTTATGACCTCAGTCTCAAACCTTGGAGTTTGAATTGTTGGGAAATATCTTCAAATGCAGGCTACATGATTGGATAAAGTCTTTGTGCATGTCGCAGAGATGATTGGACTGATTGAGAGTCTGACTTTGGTTGGAATGAAGCTCCAGAATCATGTCTCTGCGAACATCATCTCGCAGTCACTCTAGTTTCGTATTTTAACTTCATTGTGAATTTTTATATGAAATGATACGAGGACTACGATGTCTTAGTTGCACATGTTCAAGACTTACAATTCATTCACTCTTAGGAAAGGTTGTACTCATAGTGAGTTCTTCTGCTAAATCTTACTAAGGGTAAGAGTAAATAGAAAAGAGGCTGAAATTGTTTCTAGACCTACAACCTAGAAACCTAAGGAAAGGATGAACAAAAAAGCTGAAATTGTTTAATGATATATATATATAT